ATCCACCGTCAGTCATCAACCTTAAGCATGAATTCAACTTTTTGATCATAATTCAACATTGAGTTACCATCACTTGAAATCTGGGTTGAGACCATAATTGTGTCATTAATATTTTTCTTTACACATTGGAACACATTGGACTAGTTATGAATGTCATTAAGTGTTATTTACTGTCAAAAGCTTTAACAACACACACATTAATATTAATTCTTCCCTCAACTAAAGTGAAACAAGTAGGACTATTAATAAGGACATCAGTAAGTTTTATTACATTTTCAAATGCTTTAATTGCAGAGTCATTAATATTAACTCTTACCTTAAGTACAGTACCCTTGCTAATCAAGACAAACCATCTTAAGAAAACTGTAAGAGTGTTAACATTGTGTTAGATTACTTAGCAGCATGTCATTCTATAAAAAAATGCTCCTCCTTAAAACCACACACGGGGGATTTCTTATTGGGCTAGTTATACAGACAGACAACCAAGGCTGGTCAGCTAGTGTCAGCTAGTGTTAGCTAACCTCAAGTTTACAACTATAAGCTGCAGGTAGATTGCAGCAGCCATGTAAATAAAGTAGGTTACTACAATATTTTAACTGAATATCAAGCTATAGAAAGAATCTGTTTCACCAAGAATACTTAGCATTCAAGACATGTGCAACTTGCCTCCTGATGGTCTTGCCATGCTGCTGTCCTAACTCAGCGAGTCCCCTTCTTCAGCTTCCTCTTCCTCGTCTTCCTAGTAAGACTACCAATCACAGAGGACAAGGAATGTAGCTAATCTCATAAGTAGTGATAGAAGACTAGCTGGATCCACCCACCAACGGCCAAAAACATTAACCGTCAGCAAGCAGAAGCAGGAACCAGCAAGTGAGCAGAGAAATTCTTCGCGCTTGAACGCAGAGACCATGCACATGTGCGCTCCGATATCTTGCGCATCTATATTCCACTTGCTGAGCAACTCTACACGTGTGTGGATCCCTATATATTCTTACACTGGGTCTCAATTTCCTTTGCGTGAGTTCTCATTTACTTTCGACTTTTGGCATGATGATGACAACATACAAGTCACTACAAGCAGTGAAGCGGTCCACCTCCTCCTCCTTTTTACACGAGTGGTATGTACCAACCACACAGCCCCTTTGCTGCTGGCTTGTTTAAAATTTGATTCTTGTTTAATGTCAGGTTGTTATAACAAAGACATTTGAAACTGCCACCCTAAACACACACGCATCAGACAATGGTTCCATGTGGACATCACTGTCCTCACAGCACTTAAAAGGTTAAATGATGTTCAAATGAAGAACAAATTTGGGCACACTCATCATCTTAGAGAAGTAGCTATGAGGGAGGCATCATTAGATGCTTCCCAGTCTTACTGATGTCTTTGCAGGGTGCGACTTCTGGCCTCAGGGGCATGGCTCTGGAGGAACAGCTGGAGCTTGAGAGGGTCACAGTTGATGGGGATAATGAAGTGCCCCATCTCATGGAGACTAGGTGTAGAGCGATCACTGTCAAAAACAGAAACCAGAAAGCTTTTTCAAACATAAATGCTTCATGCAAAGCTCGGTACTTTTTTTTTTGTTTTACCAGAAATTAGGGAACCCAATCCAGGTAGGTTTCCTATATTAAATGTGATCAGTTTATGATAAATGTTGTTTATAATGTTCCAACATGCATCTCCCTAAAGATAGTAATTTGACCCCAAGGTGCAACTGTCCAAGATGAGCATATACCTGATTATCAGTACCAGTTGGTGTTTGGAAAAAAGAAAGTTGGACTTGACTTAGTACAACTTTTCAGACCAGAGTGATAGAAGATCACAGCTCCACTGAGGAAGTCAGGTTAGTTTTCTGTCCTGCTATCCTAACAGTCATTAGTACTTTTCATTCAGTTTTGCAGATTAACTGGAATTTTTCTTGTTATTGTTTTCAATGTGATTTATTTGTAACATGTTTTTCTTCCATATAACAGATTTGTGTCTAAGCAGTGATTTGTCAGTATCTGCTGTAAAGCCTCTTAGTTGCTGTGAAGCTTCTCTCCTGTGTTTCTATGACATCATACAACTAGTTGAGGTCAACTTCACTTTCATCATGTTGAGCTTGACTTTTCAAGTCTGAAGTCATGGAACCCCATAGTACATACTTGTCCAGCACCATGGTAAGGCCATGCAGGCTCCTGGGATGCAGGTGCAGGCGTCGGGACATCAAGCTCTTGTGGAAAGCATTTAGCGTGCTGTAGTGCTCAGCGATAGGCTGGACTGGTCCGAGGTGGATTACTTGGGATCCACCCAGGAGGCAACTGATTCTTTCCTTCAACCAGTCTGTTTGCTGCTGGAGACTCCGATAGCTGGGCAGCTGCTGGAATAACTGGAAGCAAATGCAGGGAAGTGTTAAAGAAAATTAAGTTGAAGAAGGAACACATTACAGCAGAATAACTCCAGCTGTATTACTTTGGTCCACTGATGGTGAACATCCATGGTTCCCAGCATGACGTCTCCAGAAGCATTCATGCCCGACTGGTCAGCGAACACAACAGTATGGCCTGGTGGGGAGGTGGGACAACATTTAAGTGATCCTAGCCATACCACACAACAGCTTTATTTTCTAATTTATTTCATTGTTCTGCTCAATACTAGCGTTGGACATCAATCACTACAATCTGCTCCCATTTTTAAAAACACCAATATGGCCATAATGGGAATTATCATGTTTGAGGGATTTCAAAAGGGAGAATTTCATGGATGCATAATGTGGAAATACTGCAGTTCTTGATAAAGTTAGTTGAACATTTGTTACCCTATTTGCAGAAATAGACTGTTCTGTCAGAAACAACCACAGACAAGAGGTGGGTCTTAGCAATGTCAATCATGCCTGTGTAAATGCTGCTCACAATTTCCCCCTTGCTTCTGCTACGCTGCAGCTGGTTCACCTCAATGGAGCCAGCAATGAATGCTAAAGCTAGTTAGCATGCCCCACCAGTAACAGAGGATAAATGGTTTCCCTGGAACAGTAAGTTGTTTCTACACCATTAGCACATTTAGCAACATGTACATTAGCATGATTGATAATTGGAAGCCCCCTCCTATCTCTGACTGGTTGTTTTTGACCAAGAGCAGTGCATTTCTTCAGAAGGCAATAATAGGAGCTTGATTTTTTCTTAGATTACTGTCATGACATGATGATAGTTTTAGGAAATCTGTAAAAATAATTTTTTAATAAAAGTTGCATACTGCGGCCTCAGCATTTATTTATAAATGACGACCCCATTGAAACATTACCTTGCAGATTGATCAGGTCCTCTGGATTCTGGTGAGACAGTCGGGTCAGACTCTGAAGCTGAGAGCACTTATGAGCCACTCCCCAGCTGCGCTGCCACCTAAACACACCAATAATAGGGTTAGGGCTAGTGTACAGCTTTTTGCTAGTCCATCTTCACCCTTATGTGAAAGTGACACACCCACCCCTCAAGCAGGGTGTTGTAATGTAAGAAATCATGTCATTCTGAAGCATAAAAAAAAATCCATCTTTTAGGTTACCTATGCAACTCAACATAAAAACTAAACTGTTTATGCAATAATTTTAAAGCATAAATGTCAATAGTCTAGTCGCATATGGCAACTGCTAGCCTACCTGCTGGTCTACAGGTTAGATTTTATGAATAGTGCTTTTGTTTGAACTAAATAACCAGCCTTATTGATTACTCTTAATACTCATTTTTGCAGTGACATTCTGTAGATGTTGCCCCATAACTCTGCACAATAACTCAATTGAGTTAGCAAAGTGTCAGCCTACGTCTCCTACCAAAATAAAAAGAACGCTTACATGAAACGAAATTGCACTTCGATAACCAGCTGAAAGCACCATACATGGACTGTGCTGTTTAGGAACCAGGTTATTCAGCTTGTCTAATTTTTTTATGTTTCTCATGATAAATATTTTTTGTTTGTTTTGTTTTGTTTTACATTGAATTGTATTGGGTAAATGTAACAATAAACATTTAAAATAGCTGAAAATGACTGATTTTCTTTACTTCACAAAAATAGTGGAACTGTAATAGTGATTTATGTACTTTTTCAGGCTTCTGCAGACTTATAATTTCTGACATTATTTTTCAACACTGATTGGCAGATGGCTGGACTATATAGTTTTACTGAAAATGTCCAGTTATTACTGGACATTTTCAGTAAAACTATATAGTCAGCGTTAGAGGATGCAAAAGAAGCATACTTGATATCTGCCAAAAGAAACTTTTCACACAGTTCCTTCTTCAATCTGCTCAGCTCTTCTCTCCTTGGAAGACTAGCATTGTGTTTCTTTGTTGCCTCAGGTTCACTGTTTCTCAACCAACCACTGCCAAAAATATCAAAAACAAGAAAACAGGTTTTCAAAAAACATTAATTCAAATATATACATTATATATATATATATATATATATATACAGCTGAAATGGCTATATATATATTTTCCTACAAAAACAGGACCTCGGAAGGTACTGAAATATTTTTCTTATAAAAATATGTCTGACAGACTATACTGATATACTGGATATAGACTCAGTGTTACTAACTGGAGTGTAGGTTCCATTCTCTTGGTCTGCTGCAGCTCCTGCTCAGGATCTCTGAACCCAGTGAAGATGTAGTAGCTTTTATCCCATTTTATGGGTCTATGAAAAGATTCTCCTCCGTCAGGCCCACTTTTACATGTCCCAAAGCTTTTTTCATGTCTCTCCATGTGCTCCACAGGCAAACTGCAGGATGTCAGCACATTCATCACGGTACTCAAAATATCATTTGTGTGTAGAATGAAACTCACAGACCGGAAACCTGTAAAAGTTTTAAATAAATTAAAATGTAGTATTTTCAGTGTCTACAGTAGAATGAATGTGAACAGTACCTGAAGAGACAATGTCTGGCTGCTTCTCAGTGCTCTCCTTAGTGTCCCTGATATAAAAGGTGAGCTTTATTGGCTGAACTAACTTTAAGCCAGGCTTCTGCAAATTTTCCATGTAGCCATTTAATTGCTTCAAAGAATTTTCATTCACTTCCTGGACAAAAAAAAAGCAGTTAAACAACTTTAGTTGCAGCAAATATGATTTGCTATAGACAGTGTACATCCCTACAAGAAACTGTAGACATTCAGGCTTAACCATTCAGACTTTGTTGCAGAACTGAGGTGCCAATAAGTGCGCACACACACATACACATACACACACACACACACACAGGGGCGCCGCCAGGAATCTTGAGCCCCCTGACAAAACAT